TCAGAACCATTCCTTCAAAACGTTTTTAATCGTAAAAATCTTTCAAATGTGGCTTCTATTCGGCATGGTCGCCAAAATGAATTAAAAGCACGGAGCATTTACTCAAGAGAAATGCAGAGGAAAACCAGAAAATTTACTGTATATGGGGCAGGACTCTGCGTAAACCCCTCATTGCCTTATCTTGGAGCAAGCCTAGATGGCAAGGTATTTGACCTAACTGAGAAAGGGCCATTTGGGCTTATAGAGATCAAGTGTCCTTTTGCATGGAGGGATCATACCTTTCAAGATGCGTGTAAGGATCCAAATTTCATGTGTATACAGTTGTTGATGGGCATTGTAGCTTAAAGAAAGATCACAAATCTGGATATAACTCACAGGTACAGGGACAGTTGGCTTTGTCTAGACTACAGTGGTGTGATTTCATAGTCTAACTTACAGCTTCAAAACAAATGAGTGTCCAAGGAAAACATTTTGATAGACTATACTGGGATGAAGTTGTGTTGCCAAAGTTGAGGGATTTTTATTTTTAAGTATGCCTTCAGGTTCTTGCTGGGGATGAGGATGTAGTTATAGGCTAGTTAAGAAGAGCAATAGAATTATGAATGAGGTGGAAAAAGTTTCATTTCTTGTGTTTAATCCTGCTTCTGTGTTTCTATTTGAAATGCATGTTTAAACTTAAAGTAACAAAGAGGACAAAATGGAAGACACTGATTGCATACTTTATTTCATATTCCATGATCAATTTAAACTAGTATAAAATAAGCTTGCAATTTTCACATTTTTACTGAAAGCTTGAATTTTGTTATCTTCAACCTAATTGGGAATTCCAAAAATCAACATATGGTATATAGTCTAATGTATAACTTTCCATGATTTTCAAAATGTTTGAGCTTTAGTATGACAAAAAAAATTAAATCACAAGTATAACAACACCAGAGCTTACAACATTTAATCCATGAATTGAAATTTTGGTAAGTGGGACGACACTTCATTATGACTTTGCTCTGTGTTGGTGTAGGTTCATCTGTTGAACACCCTTAACCATAAACCTGGGAATTGCCTTGAATAGCTTATAAAGCTATTAGAAAGTGTTAACTTACCTCTATCACAAATTAAATGTTACAGCTCTAATGAGGTATACTACTTTGAAATAGGAAGTAAAGTTACTTACACACACTGTCCAAAGTTGGTTGGTGAGATAGGTAATGGCTTGGAGAAAATACTAAACCTTCTAACTTTACCTATGGCCCTCTCTACATGTATGCAATGCGGAGCAATAGTTTGAATTTTTAGGACATCTGCCTCTTCAAATTGAGTT